GAAGTCTGTTTTTGAGGCTTGTTTATGGGTCTTCTCATTTCCATGGAGGGGGGAGGTGCTTCTGGCACCCACACGGCTCACCTTCTGTGCCCTACAAGCTTGGGATGGCAGCAGGGGAGCTTCCTTCCAGGTGCTGGGACCGGCTCAGCTTCTCTGCCCTAGGAGCCTGGGATGGCAGTGGGGGAGCTTCCTTCCTGGTGCTGGGACAGGCTGAGCTTCACTGCCTTAGGAGCCCGGAACTCCTTAATAATTAAACTCTGGTCAGACTATAAACCTGAGCCTTCCAGCTCTCCAAACCTTCCAAGAATCCCAGCTAGCTCCAGATTATGACTTAAGCATTTACCCATTAAGCATTGAGTTCCGAGCAGCTGCCACACCTTCAGCCGCATCCTGGTTCAAGCTCCAATTCCAAGGACACTTTCAGTTTTCCAAGGGTCCCTTGGTCCCTGTCCTCAGTTACCCACCCTGATTGGCTACTGGCCAAAGTTCCTGGCTACAAGGATTGGCCCTGGCGGCCTTGCCCACACCCATATTGGTTTGGGTGGGACTCACCCACCTAACCAAGTACTCTGGCTACAAAATCAAAAAAAACTTTAGGTCATGGCAGGGTCCCGCAAGATAGATCTAGCAGAGGCCATGGCCTTAGGCCCTGGCTGGAGGCACTTGTGTTTTGTGATGCTCTATGCACCTGACCCCAGGATGTTCTTCGGCTGCATCCTGCTGCGGTTTGCTGTGCTGGTGAGGAAAGGGCGTGTCCTGCCAGCCCCTGTCCTGGCTCATCCGGGACACAACCTAGGTGGCACCGCTGGGGCACCCAGCCAACCCCCTCTTCCCCGCAGATGCAGATGCAGTTCGATGGGTGCCTGGGCTTCCCAGGTAGCTTCGTGGACTCCCAAAACAGCACCCTGGAGAATGGACTGAACAGAGAGCTGCTGGCAAAGCTGGGCGAGGGGGTCTCCGCCTTCAGCGTGGAGTGCACAGACTACCGCAGCTCACATGCAGGGGACAACCCACACATTGTGGCTCACTTCTATGCCAAACGACTGATGCTAGAGCAGCTGGAAGGTGTGAAAGCTGGAGCACCAAGAGCCCAGGATCACGGGCTGGAGGTGGGGCTAGCCGGGACCCTCCCCATATTCAGGCTCCCTCTTTACCCCATGGGTTCCCCTTCCAGGGAAAGCCTCCTTAGCCAGGTTCCCTAGAAGGAAGTCATGGCTGCCCAGGCCTTGCAGTCTTCCCCAGTTTCCAGAAGTAATTGGGATCTTAATCATTTTCAATCAGGATAATATTGCCAACCTGGTCTCCCTGGGAACAGCTCCCCCTCCCTACTTTACTGGCCCCAGAGACCTTTCTAGAACTCACCCATTCTAGGCTCCCTGTGGATCCCTATTGACAACGTCATAGTGGCCAGGCATGACTATCTATGCCTTTAACTTTGGGTCTTTATTATTCTTAAGTAGAAAATATGTCCCTGATACTTAAGGCTACAGGAACTAGACAGATTAGATATAGAGGTGGTTCCCAAACTTTGGCAAACATCAGAATCTTTGGTGGGGAAGGGGCTTATAAAACAACTATTGCTGTGTTCTCTTTAGGAGCACATGTGTTAAAATAGGGATTCTCACAGTTAGTGGTAGGGGTGCAGGATGGGAGGAAAAACTGAGAATTTCCATTTTTCATGTATTCCCAAGTGGCACTGGTATGGCTGACTTCAGAACCAGAGGTCTAGGGCCTTTCCTGCATCCTGGAGGCAGGAGCCACTACAGGATTCAGGGAGAGATGTAGATCCAGTATTTTCAGAGCTGGATAGTTTGTCATGGGTCATTTGGATGCATGGGGATGGACCTACTAAGCTTCACTGGAGTATGAGCCTTGGGCCACACTATGCTAGGTTTTGAGGGAAGACCTTTAGAGAGCTCCTTTGCAGAGAGGATTGAAGTAACATGAGGAGCTACTTGGAATCCCAATGCCTCCTGTCTCCTTCCTTTCACAAGTGCTGGGCCTGATTCGGGTGCCCCTGTACACCCTGCGGGATGGTGTGGGAGGCCTCCCTGCCTTTCTGGAAAATTCCTTCATTGGTGCTGCCTGGGAACAACTACTGAAAGCCCTCCAGGACTTGGAACTCTTCGAACTTGGCTCTGTCTTGAGTTTTGAAACTCATAGCTATAGGCAACATTCTGCAAACTCATGGAACCTGAAATGAGTTCATTTCAGGTTTGATACTGGGAGGGAGGAAGGGAAAAGGAAGGGCTTTCTTATCTGGGCTGGAGAAATGACAGATAATACCAGATTAAAAGATGGAAATGTGTTCATTCATGTGATGGTTAATCCTGACATGTCAACTTGATTGGTGTAAGAAATGCCTAGTAGAATTGCAAAGCACACTTTTGGGTAGTCTGGGTGGGTCATGGAAGTATGACTTTGGGTACTACATATGGTCCCTGGCCCCTTCTTCTCTGGTACTCTTCCCCTGCTCTGTCATGAACTAAGCAGCTTTGCTCTTCATGCCCATCCTTGATATCCCTGCCTTGGAGCCAGCTGAGCCCAGACTGAAGCCCACAAAACTCTCAGCGCAAACAAACCTTTCATCATTTAAGTTGTGGATATTATGTGTTGTGTCCCAGCAATGGAAAAGCTTACACATTTGGGCCAGGGATTTAGCTCAGTGGTTTTGCTGCCTGCTGCGCAAGCACAAGGACCCGAGTTCAATCTCTGGTACCAAAAAAAAAAAAAAAACACACTGCAATACATTTTGAACAGAAGGCTCTACTAATTCCTAGTACCAGTGGCACAAACCTTTGAAACTTTGAGGGCTTCAGAAATCCTAGTA